TCTTCCCTCCCTCTCTCTCTCTCCCTCTCTCCCCCCCCGCCCCCTCTCCCTTTTGTACATGGGATCGAATTCAGGACCTTGAGCTTGTGAGGCAGGAGCCACGCCACTGAACTAAATCCTCATCATGACCTGCTGTATTTTCTTTATTTTTTTAAATATATTTTTCTTTCATATTTACAATTTTGATTCTCATATTTTTAACATTAATTTTTCCATTTCTATCATTTCCATTGAATACTTTAAATCTATTTAATATTTGAAGCAATAATTTAAACTACTTAGTTTTTATACTGGCTGTTTCCCAAGATTTTCTTATACTTCTTTAATGCTTTCTCTTATAACGTAAAATTCTTAGTCTTCCTTCCTTCCTTCCTTCCTTCCTTCCTTCCTTCCTTCCTTCCTTCCTTCGGGCCCTTGCGCTTGCTAGGCAGGCACCAGAACTCCTGAACTAAATCCCTGGCCCCTTAGTCCTTATTTAAAGAAAAAAACAAAACTCTGTATACTTGCTTCTGCTTCTGTCCACCATCGCTTGCGCGTGCTTGCCTCTGAGCCTAACCACATCTTCTCACAAGACTTTCAGAATCAAGCAATTCCTGGACAAGAAACAAAGACAGAATTACCCCATTCCTCACTGGATTCGGATGAAAACTGGTAATAAGATCAGGTACAAATCCAAGAGGAGACACTGGAGGAGGACCAATCTGGGACTGTAAGGAATGGAACATGAGATTCAGCATATTTCTCTCCTGGAAGTCACAAAATGATACATTCTTTATCATGGTGAAGGTTACATTACCATATCAAGTTTAAAAAATACCATTGGCTGGACAGTTGAACGTGCTTAATCAGGAATCATGTTCTGTGATCAGCACTGAGTCAACAATAAATGTTTTGAAACCTTAAAAAAAAGCTCTACATACCTAAAATATTCTGTAATTGTATTCTATTTTTTTAGCCCTGAAAAAAAGTTATTACACATGATCCCAAGGTCTAGCTAATAGAATATAACTGGAAATTATGTGGATTGGATTGTATCTATTAGTTATTTTCGGTGGCTACAGGCAGAATACCTCTGTTTGCTTCAATCTTCTTCTGGTTTAACCGGGACAGTAATAAAATGTCGCCCTTTCTCTAGCAATAATCTCAAACAATCAAATCTTTCTGGCAATCAGAGTGACTGTCATTGCACAGAAGCAATAATATACTGCCCATAACTTTGAAAAGTAACCATCTCCAGACACTTTTTGAAAAGAAAACTGCTTTAAATTCTGGTGGAAACTGAGTCTAACTTTGAGGAAAAAAAATCTCAAATGGACTCTAGATAGAGCCAATTTTTAATATTTTAGGAGGAACTATAAATCAGGAATAGCACTAATTTTCATTTTGAAGATTTTTTTATTTTTTAATTTAATTGCATTGTGGTAAAATTGTGATACATAAGATATTGATTCCTCATACAGTATTTTTATGATTTCTTATGTGATATAGTGTTTGATTAATTTTTGTGGGGGGGGGGTAGAGGGGATCAAACTCAGATCCTTGCACTAGTGAGGCAGGCAGAGGAACCACTGAGCTAAATCCCTGGCAATGGTTAATTTTTATAATTGTTCCAAGTATAGTTAAAATGAACGACAGCCTCTCTCTCTCTCCCTCTCTCTCTCTGTCTCTCTCCTAGTTTTAAGTCTCATTTTCACTTTTCTATATTTGATCCATCAATTTGTGACAGAATTATTTTTAATGGTCATGTAATAGATGACCTATCAATTTTTCCTTCCAATAGTTAGGTTTTGCTCTATATGTTTTGATGGTATATTATTTGATGAATTTAAATCCATGATTCATGGTACTCATTATTACATTTTTATATTGATTCTTTCCTCTGTTTTAATGCAGTGTTCGTATTTATTCTTAATAACATTTTTTGTTTAAATCTGTTTTGTTTAATATTAATGTGGCCATACCACTTTTCTTTTGCTTGGTATCTTTCAGATATAGCTTTTCCAATTTATTTATTTATTTTTAAGCTTCCTTTATGGTTTTATTTTACATGGTTCTCTTACATGAAGTATATAGGTAGGGTTCATCTTTTTTGTATTTTTGCATAACTGTGAAGTTAATATATGGATATGTTTTTCATTATATTTCTTTTTATTCTCTCCTTATTTTAATACTCTAGATTATTGCAGTTCTATTTTTCTAGTTATTTTTACTATTTGGCATATATACAGTACTTAACTATTCCATTTTAAACACTCTACAATCATTTGCTAATACTGATCTTTTCCCAAACATAACAAAGTCCTTATGATGTTACCCACAGAGTAACACCCATCATACTATTGGTGTCTAGAGATTCAATTTTACCATTTGTAAGAAAAACAACTTTTACATAAAATAGCAAGTTTTCTTATGTTCTTTCTTGTTATTTCATTAAACCCACTCTTTTTCTCCAGTCTTTATTATTTTCTTCCCAAAAACTATTCTTTAGTGTTTCTTTTAATATGATCTATGCCCATTAAACTTTCTTAATCTCTCCATATCTGAAAATTTCCTTATAGCCTTCTTCCACCTCAACCTATTTGGGTAGAAAATTTTTGGTTGATAATCATTTTTTTCTCAGCACAATGAGACGATGGTCCATTGATCTGGCATTTATTGCTCATAGGAATTCTGTTGTCACTCTATTATTATTTAGTGGACATTCTTTCCTTTTTGTCTGCTAGCTCTTTCATAATATTTTTCTTCAGTTCCCCTATTATGTAGTTGTGCATGAATTTATGTTTATTTACTCACCACATTTCTTAGCCCTTTTGATTTGAGGATTCTTCTCTTCCTTCAACTTTAACTTCTGGGCTCTTATCTTCCCTATAGTTCTACTTATAATTCCTATACCAAAGATCCCACTGCTTTCCCACCACCAAAACACTTCCAGTGGGTCTTGGACCTTGGAGCTCACAATCTATCATCAGTAGCATCCATTACAACCTCAGCCTCTTCCCTGTATTTTTCCTTTTCACAGTCACTTAATCTTGTTTCACACTGCCTTTTCATTTATAATCCACATCATTTTAAAAATGTAAATTGTTACTTCACTTACCACTTTGGATATATGAAACATCCTTATTTTATGTTATTGGCCAGTCTGTTTTAGTACATTGTTCTTTTTT